AATATATATATAAAAATCAAATAAATATGAAAACATTTGTTCCACTTCTGATTAATCTGTCACTCTGCAATATTAAGGAAAAAAGAAACAAAAAAAAACACAAAAAAAAGAAGCAACCCCCCGCAACCCCTCCCCAAACCCCAAGTAGCACATCTGATGGGAAAATAACCATGCGCTCCTCTTCCTGAAGAACTAGAAAGCAAAGCAAACCCAACTGCAAGGCAATGGAGGCATTCACTTCCAGTTCACAGTATTGCAGTTAGAAGTACAGTGAGGTCTAGGTAAGTGATGGAGCAGGAGCTGCCTGGAGCGGGGAAGGAGAAGGTGTTCACATGACAATACAGCACTGACAGCGCTTTTTCTTTTGTGTACCTGGGGCAGCTTCCAAGGGCAGGCTCTCTTCCTTCCCCTCGGGAGAGGAGGGCTCTGTCGTATCCGACAGTGGCCTGCCAGAGACCAGCTCAGCAGCGTTCCCGTCCATGGTGGAGACGTCCGTCACTGTCTTCTCCCGCAGAGACTTCTCGTCGTCTTCATCAATCAGGACCAGCTCTGCCTTGATGGTCTCGTCATAGCCCAGCACTTTCTTCGTCTCCTCTTCGTCGTCAATGTTCTGGTAGCCCATAAATATCATTGTCACCGGCTGATCTGCACTGGCCTCAAGGGCTTCGCCACCGCAGGGTTTGTCTTGGGGCTGAGGGTTCGCAGCATGCCCTTTGCTGGGTTTGTGTACCATTTCCAGCTTTGCCTCCTTGAAGAGCATTTGCTCCTTCATATGGCTAAGGTTTCCATCGGCTACCATATTTCTGTCTGACACAGTCATTGTTTCATACCCTCCTTTTACACTTGATTGTCCAGCTTTTTGCATAAGTTCATCTACGTCCTTTGAGCTTAATTTATGTACTCCATTTTCTACCACTGTGCCACCAGAGTGAACCTCATAGACTACCTTGGTACCATCATCATAGACTTTGAATCCTCTTTGATGGGCCTCATCTGGGCCAACAGGTGAAGCAGAGACAATCTTGGTCTCTCCTGTATGTTTGTCTTTCTCCACATTAATTTCCATGGTGCACAAAGCTTGAATGAAAACAAGAGAGGAAGTGCATGTTACAACAAAAAAAGCCAGTGAATGGTTAATTGCCAAACAGACAAAGAAAACTACGGTGCCCCTTTTTCTACCTCCTGCTTCTAAAGGGCCAAGTGTTCTACGTTAGAGGTGGGACGCAATGCTGTGGACAGAGATAGTTATTACACTACAGCTTTTTGTGCAGCTGGAGGCTAGGCATACCTGCAGCAAACAGGACCTAGTCTTCCAGCTCATGCCGTGCGGAGCTGTCTCGGATCAATGAGGAGCGCCAAGAGCACTTGGGTTAGGTGTAATTTAGACAAAGGGAAGTGAAAGCATGCAGGTTGCCCTCGACCTTTCCATTTTGAACTTGCCTCAAAATTCAGAGAGAAACTCATCTCCAGGAACCTCTCTACTCTCTTTTCTTTCCCTGCCATCAAACTGCCAGTTAGCTGCTAACAAGTTTTGTTTGCTGCAAGTAACACCCAGACTGTTTTATTATTAATGCTTGTTCTTGCATAACTCTTCCATCTGTAGCGTTCAAAACATTTTAGAGAGGTGAGGAAACATTGTCTACCCCTGTTCTACAGGTGAGAAAATAAAATCACACAGGAATGGGATAATTTCCCCTGCAGATGCATGGCAGGGCAGGTGTCTCAGCTTCCACACCAAGGCATCAACAGTGACCTCTGCTTGCAGAGAATGTACAAAATGGACAAGAAGTGCTTCCTCATTTATTTGAATTAGGCCCTAAGTACCATTGCCACAGTTGAAGAAAAAGGCAATAATGAACTGATTTTCAAAGCTTCATGAAACAACAGGTGAAAACATGCATGTCAGGGATGCTGCTTTAGATAGCAAAGAAGCTTTTCTAGCAGTTAAGAAGGATGCAGTAACAAGATGAAAATTGTAGAGGCCACACAGTAGGAACAGACAGGCAGTCTACACCGCTCTAACACCCCTTTTGAGATATGATGGCATCTCACTAGACAGCTTTCCAAAGAAAAATGTGCAAAGATCTCACAGATTTTCCAGAAGTGGTCATCTGTTTAAGCATTCCTTGTATGCAGATGAAGACATTTTGGCTCACGGACAGACATCCACAGACACTTAATTACAAATTACCACAGGCAGTGACAAGTGTTTGTGAAACTTACGGTGACCATTTCCACCAATGAACCTCAATGTACCTGGGGGCACCACAAACTGATGTGTTGGCTTTTTTTCCTGACTTATTTTCAAGCGAGTACAGAATATCCTTGCCCCAAGAACCAATGTAGCTTGGTATGCTTGTATTTAAAAAATCATTAATATAAAAAATTACTCTTGCTTTAATATATTCTCTCAGTCTTATTATTCACACACATTAGATTTTTTTTTTATGTATCCTTAAAGCAAAGTATTTAATCAGCAATAGGAAGTTTATCATGATGTGCATCATGACTCCCCTCCTATAGCTCTAGACAGAAAATTCATGTATTGCTGAGTGGGTGCATGCTGGCCCCTGTGAAGTGGTGTCCTCTGGCCCCTGGGGGTGTGGTCTGGTAGGCAGCCCAGCCAGACGGGGGTCTGCCCATCTACATGTTGTATGTGGCCCTGGCAGGACTGGTTAGGTGAAGTGCAATGCTGCACCAACACCTGCATGGAGAGGGAGGATGGAGGTGCCGTGGGCGAAGGAGCATTGCTACCTCTGAGAGCAAAGTGCTGCTGAAGGCTGGAGAGGGCTGCAGAAGCAGGGATCTCATGTTGCCCATTGCAAGCTAGGGAAATATCCCTAAGGTCTGTGTTTTACCACTGCTTTGAGAGCTTTGTGTTCATAGCTGTCATGGCCTTGAGCACACAAAGTGATTCCCCTCCCTGTGCTGGAGTTTTCACGCCTGCCCATCCCACCACAGCCACTGCAGCCAGGAGGAGGTTGTGGGGGTAAGAGCTGGGTTCTGCTCTGAGGTATGCAACAGGAGACTGAGGGGCAGTCAGCAGGGACTGAAACAGGAGATTTAGGCTGGAAATAAGGAAAAACACTATCGCCCCATGGTCAGAAGCAGTTAAGCCCTTGAGTAGGTTGCTCCGAGGAGCTGTGGAAGACTGCACCATGGTGCAGCTCAGAGAGCAGCTGGCATGGATCACTTGCTTGGGACTGTTCCAGCCCAGGAGCTAGTGGGCAAGTGTCCTTCAAATCTCATGCAAGTAACTCTGCCCTGAAGCCTTTAAACCAACTTTTAAGGGGTAATGAAACAAAAAGACACAGGTGTCACCATTAAGCCTCTGGGATTTGCTCCCTTCTAGGTGCAGTTTCTTGGGTGGGAGCGAGGGGGGAAGAGGAAAGGAAGAGGAATTTCATTTATTGGCTTGGCCCCGGGGCCTCTGAACATCACTTGACCTCACCAGGGCTGCTCAGGCAGATATTGTTCAACAACTGCAAACATTACAGAGCTAAAAGTAGGGATTGGCTAGTCTACGGTGCAGATGCTGAAACTGACACACTGGCAGGTTTTTGAGTGGCAGCCAGCTGAACTGAAGCAAAGCTGAACTATGAGGGAGCCACAGCACATCCAGAATATCATCTCTGATGCGCAGAAGTTCCTGATTTGTCCTGAGCACCACAGCCCTGCAGAGAGGGCACTGCTGGCTCACCAACTGGCCACCTGCTATCTTCTTGGTGAGAAGCAGCATCCTTAGCTCCCCTGGAGCTCCTGTGCTTCTCTTCTTTTTAAAAAAATGAAACTTTTATCTGGGGCATGACTTTTCAGTAAAGGCTGCTGATTATAGGCTGTGAAATAGTTGAGTGCTATGTTATCGCACATATTTTTAGTGCAGAAGAGGGTGCAGTCTGCCAGACCCTCCCTGTTTTGGTGAACAAATTTTATTCAGTAGAGTTTATTAAAAGAAGGCTTGTATAATGGGCCTGAATTCAGAAGTAGATAGGGAAAATCTGATAGTTAAATCACGTGGACCTGGCCATATTTAGGAAGAGTTGCAAGACACATCTTTTTATCTATAGTATGGAGTACTGATAAGTAACAATGCCCTACTTATTAGGACGACTTTGGGCAACAAGTTCTAGCACTGCTTGGAAGATTCTGTCCTACGGGCTGATTTGTTAACAGGTGTGGTCCTTTTGTAATTTATGTTTGGCTAATTTGCTTGAACATTTGCCACTGTCAACATTTTATTTCTTCTACTATCATTTCAGCAGCACTGTTTTTTAAATTTTGACATAACATGCTGTTTATGACCTGCCCCAGGGATGACATTTAAGCTACTTGTGCAAATAAATAAATAAATAAATGTGAGCTTCTTAGAAAGCTGTTCACTAGTGAAATGCATTGCCATGGGAGAAGCAAATAACAGAACCTGGCTTATCTACCTGTATGAATAATGTTCGTTCTCTGCAGGAAAACCTAGCAGCCCAGCTTGTCAAAGTAGCTGAAAATGGAACTAATGTTGATTTCTAAAATGTCTTTATTTAACCAGAGCTTATTTACTGCAAAATGTGCTCTATTAATACAATGCAAAACTATCTGACAACAGATTTGAAACTGAAAGCAGTAGTTGAAGATGACAGCCTGTATTCACAAGTACAAGTTTTCTGAAGAGCTTTAACTACAGTGTAACATGATGCAGTGCTTCATGACAAGAAGATCCCACTGTGAAGACGAAAGTATCTGGCTTCTGCCTGTTATGTGGATTCAGAGGCTGTTCTTTAAGAAAAAAAATCTTAATAGACTTTGAGCTTCTTTTAAGATGGAATGCTTACAGTCTACCTTTGAGAACTGGTGCATTTCTTTGAGCTTTGAGCTATTGCACACACGTAATACTCTTATGAGGACTACATGAACAACGCTTCTGGGTCACTTGAAAAATGAAAGAAATTATTGTGTTCTTGGTGTTGACAAAATGGCACAAAACACACAGGGCAAAGCTTGCTTTTAAGACAGATCAGGGTAAGCACTGGTGGAAGGGAAGCTTTTGGAATGACTTGCAACAGGACCTCTGAACAAAATGACATATCCTGTAGCTGTGTACAGTGTCTTAGCTGCAGACATTGCTTTGCTATGCTTATTAACCTGTTCATCAAGTAAGCCACCTTTCATTCCCACTCCTTGGGACACCTCTTAAGTAGCTACCAGCAATTTGGTCTTGAGATAGGGAATACATTGTTTAGAAAAGAAGGATCTTGAAAATAAGAAAAACATACAGCTCTTAACAATCATGTTGTTACATTTAAGACACATACTCAATCTGAAAAATAGGTGTTAAAAAATCCTCTATATGACTCCAAGCACAAAACGTGATGTAATTGTCCCCACCTTTTCCCCAAGAAGAATGAATGATACACAAATAAGTATAAAATGACATAAAAGTTCGAATCACATATGGGGTCTTGCGGGTGCCTGTCTCTCATTCACCTTATTGGGAGTTGCATGGGTACAATGAAAGAGGCAAAACCTTGGCCTAAATACCATGTATTTTTATCAGAAGAGATGGAAAGAACTGAATGCTTCCAAGTAAGAAAATTTGACAGATTTCCTATGCTACTTGTACGTAGTTCAACTATTTTTTTGAGAGTACTCATTGCTGCTCAAAAAGCCTTGACTTATTTACAAAATACAAATCAAGCGGCATTTCCTGGCATTTAAACGATATCGGGACACCAGACCCATTAAGGTAATATAACAAAAAAAGTTCATGGCTACTGGACTGGTATTATAATACTTTGCTCCTTGAGACTTACCAGCTACTCTGCTTGCTCCGTCCCGCCCAGGAACTGGCTCTGCTGTTCGTGAATAGAGGGTTGGGAGTTCAGGGATCTGGGAGTAAATGTAATTTACTGCATCTGGTGTCAGAGAACAGGAAACAGTTAGATTCGTGCTACGAGCCCCAGTGGCTTCATTGCTTAGACAGCAGAGTGTTGTCAGCCCTGACAATAGTCACTGGAGCTTTGTACTAGATAATTGGATCAAAGCAAACAAAGTGCAAAGTCACCGTCGTGTGATTGGTGTTCAATAGACTAGCTGAGGCAGGAGGGAATGGGTCCAGATGACTCAAACCTTATGTCAGTTGAACACATGAAATTATTTGTCAGGAGGTTCTGGATTTATCAAGTCCGTGACCTTTAAAACGGGGTGGGGGGGAGAGAGGGGGAAGGTAAGGAACAAACCTAACGTGATACCCAGAATACATGTCATTTCAAATAGAGATATAAAAGCCTAAAAATGCTAGTGTTGACTGAATTGGATGAAAGGCCAGCTCTTTTGCACTGCTTGTTTCCAATATTATTGAACCAGCATTTGGCTTTTTGTTCTCAAATTTAGCTAATTTAGCTAATAATGAAATCACATATAGATACTAATAGGGTGCTTGTTGTGAGCTTCAGTAGATATTAAGCGCCTGCCAGTTATGCAGTGCCATCATTCATTAACAAACCCTGAAGTGGAAGAAACCTATCTTAAAGGACTGACTTGTTTTATGTTTGAGCTTATGGTTGTTTAGCATAAGCTAAATATGTTCTTTAGAAGAGACATTAAAGAAATCTACAAATATTTACCAGGAGATGTTTTGTGGCTGGGTTAAATATAACTAGATACCATATATATCGTTCTGGTAGCATTCAGTGACTGAGTTAAAAGCTGAGCTCAGAGGAGAGATGTGCAAATAACTGACTTACAGTTCAAGTGCCAAACCAAAATGAAAAAAAAAATTTAAAAAAATCACATTTTTTCCTATCAACTGGAAATGTTTTCAGTTTTGTATGGCAACGATTGAATTTCTGTTCAACCATAAGAACCTATCTGATGTGAAACAGAGCATACTTTTTCCTCCAAAGGTACTTTGCTGGTTATAATTTAAGTTGTCGAGCTCTCAGTACAGTCTGGTCCATGTGTCAGGATAGGAGGCAGAATATGCCTTCCGTGGTGCCTCTTGTTATAAGCTCTTGAGATAGGAAGACCAGTGCAGACCATAAAAGTGAACTGGTGAAAGAAGAAAAAATGAAATGTCCTGTTGGAGGCTGCTTGACTGCATTTGGTGAAGGGAGATATTTTCATCACATGCCCTAAGGGCTAACACCCATCCCAGAAAAAAACCCTGCACCTGGTGGCATCCTTAGCAGAGACATGATGTGCCACCTCTAATCCCAAAGTCTGTTCCTCTGGCAGGAAAATTGGGCCTGGCATTAGTGAAATGGTTTTACCGCCGTAACAGCCTGCTGTGGCCACTGGTGCTGCTGGGTGCAGGAAGGTAGTAACCACAGTCCTCAGGCAGACATGCCAAGCCTCCACGGAGCACTGTAGATGACGCAAGTAAGAAGATCCCCTTCCCCCCTTCCTGTGTCAGAAGAGGATGGAACAGAGGCACAGTGCAAATTCTTTCCAGAAAGTCAGAAAGTTAGTATGTAAGTTCAGTTTGTAACAGATGAATTTGAAAAAAAACCTCGGCCAGGGAAATATTATTTTATTTCATACTTCAATGGAAAATGCAGTCTTGGCAAATGGGCTTTTATATTTTCAATGCATACTGTTTCCTTAAGTTTTTTTATTTATTTTTAGCAGTAGAGAAATAATTGTTTAAGCGACAGCTGACTGAGCAATGGCCAGCAACAGCTGCTTTCTTTTGCAGGGTTTCTTGCCTCAGATGAGAAATTGGTACAATGCTTGGTGTTATTCTGGGAAATATCACCAGTAAATGAGCACGCCATTATTGAAAACTGAAGCAATTTCTCAGAAGAAAGAAGTGGGGATTGTTTCTGGGCCAGAATAAGAAGGCACTTTTTGTTCTGGAAATGGCAGAAATTTAGTAATTATTCACCACATAGAGAGTACTGCTTGAACAGTCGTTTCAGTACACACTCATCCAGCAACTTGAGTGACAGACCTGTGTGTCCACACGTGGGTGTAATCAATGTAGACTTGTGCCACTTAACTAATCAACCTTACTTGTTTCACACTCCGTGGGAATAAATAGGCATGGTTAGGGTACAGTTCTCATCCCAGGGCACTGCAGGAGGCAAAATACGTTACAAGTGTTTGTTTTTCCACAGCGCCCGTACAGGGAACTGAGCTGTCCATCCTGGCAGCTAGCATTGTTGACGTCTAGCAGTAAGCGAGATCAGTTGTACAGCTTGATGGTGAAACTCTTGCTTTGATGCTGTACATACCTGTGGACCTTAGTAAGGTTTTTTGCCTCCTGCATTAGGAGGCAATACCTAGGTAAGTGTTAGGTGTTGTTAATATTGACTCAGTTTAGAAACTTCTCTGGATGTTACTTAGAATAAAATATTTTAAAATTAGCTTCAGAGTTCCTGAAAATCTCTCTTTATTGTCCTGAGCAGGGAATGCTGTGGTGGGGGTAGGATTCTCGTGTATTTTCTTCTGAAGCAAGTGGTGGTGCTATGTGTCAGAAATGGGGTATTTGACTAGAAGAAGTTGGGGTTTGGATGATTCTGCCAGTTCCTGTCTTGTCCCCATGCCAGAAAAAATGAACATGATCATTTCCCTTTACCTCACTGGCGACGAGGTCTGTTTCGTTTAGCACCTTTAAAAAGGATATAAGAGATCGATTTTACAAGGAGCTGATGAGATGCAAATTAGCATTTCGTTTGCATGAGAAGACAGAACATGAATTAAAGCATTTGAACTGACTATATTCAATATCTTCATTTCAATCTTTGATGAGTTATTAATCTCTAAGGATGCTATAAAACATGTCATGTGGCATTTTGTACTACTTACAACAAACTGTGTTTTAGGACTATGGCACTTTTCCATACTACCAGACAGACAAGTGCTCAGGAAAATCTATGGGGCCAGATAATCCTTCAAGGGTGCTTACACAAAACTAAACCTTCAGAACTGCTCAGAATAACTCTCATGCAGAGGCTTGTGGCCAAATGTCAGACGAACTCACTTTGCAAGGGCTGGATTATCTTTAAAAAGTCTGACTATCACTAAAATTAGTGCCTGAGGTCTTCTGCAAATACTAGCTCTCACAGCAGGGCTGTTCAACCTGCAAAGCTCCCTGGGGCTCCATGGGGCTACATCAGAGGGAACAGAGATTATGACCTTCCCACCACATTCGAAAGAACATGAACAGAGGTTTAAGGAGGAAGCATTGCTAAAAGCTGAATAGCCTAGCTCTGATTCAGTGAATCATGCTTTAAACTAAGGAACTTAGTGGGTAGGGTCTACAGCTGACACCTGTAAATCTGTAAGCAACAGGGTGGATGAGTGCACCGACCAGAGCAGTAAGGAATGCTCTCCAACCCTTTCCAAAGGCAAGAACCAAGTTCAGCCACCTCAAGTGCATGTATACCAATGTATGTAATCTGGGCAACAAGCAGGAGGAACTAGAGCTCCATGCGCAGTCTGACAGAAGTCATAGGAATCACAGAAACTTGGTGGGAAAACTCATGTGATGGGAAGACCACAATGGATGGCTACAAACACTGTCAGAAAGATAAGAAGGGAAGAAGAGGAGGTGGAGTTGCACTTTATGTGAAAGAGAAATTTGAATGTTTAGAGGAGAGCTCTGGAGACCATGCTAGTTCTATTGAATAAATGCCTTTGAATAAGATCAGAGGGACATCACCAAAGAGGATCTTATGTTAGGTATCTGTTACTGACCTCCTGATGATGAAGCAGAGAAAACCTTACTTTGGCTGTTCAAGGAAGCCTTAGGCCAACAGAAACTGGTCCTCATGGGTGGCTTCAATTAGCCAGACATTTGTTGGAAAACAACCCAAATGGTGCACAAGCTGTCCATCAGGTTCCTGGAATGCATTGAGGACTGCTTCCTGCTACAGATGCTGGACATGCTGACAAGGAGCAGCACATTGCTAGATTAACTGCTCGCTATCTGAGAAGACTTACTTGACAACATAACTACCAATGGTAGTCTCGGACACAGTGACCACAACATTATGGAGTTTAAGATCCTGCTGACCATACTGAAGACCAGTAGTAGGACAAAGACCCCAAATCTTAGAAAAGCCAACTTCAGTATGCTCAAAGCCCAGCTGCAAGAGATTCCATGGGAAGCATCCATGGAGGGTAAAGGAGCTTCTGAGTCCTGGCAGTTATTCAAGAGTGCCTGCTGAAAGCACAAGAACTGTCCATCCTCTACAAAGGGAAAGGAAAAAGGCTGAATAAAAGACCACCCTGGTTTAACAATGAGCTTTTAGGCATAATTAAAAGCAATGAAGAAGCATTGTGGCTGTGGAAAGGCAGCCAAATAGCCATTGAGGACTACAAGAACCTTGCTAGGGCATGCAGAGATGCAGTCAGGAAGGCTAAGGCTCAGATAGAACTGAAATTGGCAAAGATGTCAAGTACAACAAGAAAGGATTCTTCAGATTTGAGAGCAGTAAGCAGAAGCACAGGGAAGACATAGGCCCGTTACCAAACAGGGCAAAGAAAATAGTCAGTAACAATGCTGACAAAGCAGATGTTCTCTTTTCCTCTGTCCTTACTGCTGTAGCTGGACCCCAGATCACAAGATCAAGTAGCTATGACAACTCATGTGTTGATCTGCCAGTAATGGAAGAAGGGCTGCTCCGCAGCGTCTTGCAAGGGCTCAACACACATAAATCCCTGGGTCTGATCGGAATCCACCCCAGTGTGTTAAGAGAAGTGGCTGACATTGTTGCAAGGCTACTGTCTATAATATTAGAAAGTCATGGAGATCAGGGGATGTCCCTGATGACTGGAAGAGGGAAAATGTCATACCCATCTACAGGAAGGGACTAAAAGAGGACCCACGAACCTAGAGGCCCACTGGTCTTACTTCATTCCCTGGGAAAATGACGGAATGATTCCTCCCAGGAACTATTACAAACCAAATGAAACAGGTGATTGGGAAAAACCATCATGGATTTACCAAAGGCAAATCATGACAGACTAACCTGATCATCTTCTACAACAAAATACTATCTTCTGTCGACATGGGGAGAGCAGTGGATGTTGTTTACGTGGACTTCAGCAAAGTATTTGACAGTGTTTCCCACAGCCTTCTCCTGCACAAACTGGCAAGATACAGTTGGATGAGCGGTCTGTGAGATGGATATGAAATTGGCTAACACCTCACAGTCAGAGGGTAGTGATGAGTGTATTTACTCAGGTGGCCAGCAGTGCTGTAATTGTGGCAGCCATAGATACAGATCAAATTTAAAAGTTACTTAAAACCCTACAAATGAAAAAAAAATCACTGATGAGTTTTTACAGGACATGTGGAAAGCACTCTACAAAGATCTGTACTTGACTCCTCTGAGGACATGCTCGTCTGCTTTACTGTTGGGCTGCACAGCTGATTAAGATCAGAGGAGAGAAAACCAGAAAAGCCCCTAAGCAATGTGCTGGGAAGTAAACAATCCAGGCCAGGTTTCCAGAGCCACATCTTTGCCAAATATATGCTAATACATATCAAATTCAAATAGAGGTTTGTGCAAACTGTAGAATTACTGTAATTGTGGGTTCTGTATGTTGGCTGAAGTAGCAGCATGTAGTTTGCATATGGATGGCTGAAGATTGTAGAGGACAAATTTACCTGAGGCAAATTCAGCAGTCAAGGGAGTTACATCAGATCTTAATGTGGCTTTTATTTTATATATACATTGAGTCATAAACATACACATACATGGAGTAAGAGCTCTCTCCCTGGCATTTGTTCACAATGTGCATGCAGCATAGCACTACAGCATGCCTGGCTTTGTCTGCTGACCTAAGCAGCAACAAATATCATTCCTAGCATCACCTCAGCCCTTGTTTAATGGAGAGCTTGTCAGTGACAAGCCACCAAGGAGCTGGCAGAAGCACAACTGCAGGTGGCAGGGCCACAGCCCTCAGCCTCAGCATTTCTGCTCTGCTTTCTCACGTGTGGTGATCTATGAAGGCAAAGTGTGTTTGTACCCCAGAAAACATAGGGTTTGTGTTTATTGTGCCTGGATGACTCCAAGCTCTGAAATGCTCATTGCCAAACACAGCTGTTTTCTGGGAAGGGTGGGAAGGACACAGAGAGTCACTTGATCGGCCACTGATGCTCACCACCACTTCTCCTCTCCCCTTGCAGCCTTTGCCTGGACCCCTCTGGGCTCTGAGCTCCACGTAGTGGTGCTTTCTGCACACTCAAAAGATCTGTCACCACCATATATATGACACAAAAACATGCACAGGGACACAGTGATGAGATAATTTTCTGTACCATCATTGCGTGTAGAATAAAGGGAGGGATGGACACAGGGCAAACTAATGTGAGATTTATGGAATGGAAGTCTTTCAGGATGTGGCAGCAGTTGAAGAAATTGCCCCAACAGGTACATGTCGGTTTGTGTCTGTGTTGTACACAGCCTTCCTGTATTATCCAATGGCTCTTACATTCTCCTCTGCAGCATGTGTTACAGATGGTAGCCAAGACAGATGGCTGATCTGCTGCCACAAAGCAAGTCCTACATGTTTTTGAAGGAAGGAAAAATCTATGGTACCAAAGTGATCGCAGCTATCTATGTTGGCGTTTTCTTCCTGCTGTGATCAGCTACCCTCACAGGCTGTTGTCAGGAAGCAGGAAACAGAGGACCTGCTCAGCTTTCACCTTGTGAAGATGTACGGTCACATTGTTCCCACAGTGGGAGAGCTAACAGGACAGCTTGCAGCCTTGGTCATTCCTAAAGGAGCAGAGTATGGTACTGCTTAGAGGATGACCCGAGCCCACCTCAGCCCACAAGGACCAGCTGCTGAGACAAAGAGACAAGATATATAAAGCAAGTGGTCTGGAAGAGAAGAGGTACCAGTTAACTTAGCTATACCCCCTGCTCCTTCTGCTTGCACATTTATTGCAGAGGGACATCGTAGTTTTCTGTTACCCTTCAAAAAACCACAAGCTGTCCTTGCTTCTGGCTGAGTCTGTGAGGGAGGGATCCACTGAAAGCAGGCAAAACCTGGAGAACAGTGAGGCTGCTCTTGAACCCAATGAAATACTACTTTGCAACAAGAAAATACCTTCAGGGAAACTACTGCTTCATATTTGCTAGCTGGGGCTTCCTTTGGTTCCTCTTTTATCACAACACACATGAAAAGGCAGACTGCATCTTGCAGGAGTCATAAAAGCTCCTACACATTTTGGGTGCTAATTCCTGTAGACACCATTTCTCTTTTGGAAACTTACCAACAACCATGGTGAAACTCTGCATAGGTACAAAATATTTGCCATTCTGGATCTTTATTTACTTTGTGGTAGACAATTTCAAATGCTCCATGAGGAATGATGAGTAAGTTCTTAGCATAGAGCATCCTATATGGGATTTCTTTTTTTGTTGTTTTGTTTTGTTGCGGGGTTTTTTGTTTTGACAATGAGATTTAACATAAACTTGGATTACATTGCTAATAGAAGTGAAAATTTCTGAACTAGATCTTTGAGTTAAAAAAAAAAAAACCTCTTACTAACTCATAATAATTCCCTCAAAAAAGATACTCCCCAAAACAGCTCCATGGCAACTCATATACTACATATTGACCTTCAGTTGTGTCCCAGCGCTTTAATATTAGGATCATCCTACATATTCCTCATCTGTACTCACAGTACAGTTGGACATGGCTTTGTCAGCAGCTGGAGGAGATAGTCATGACCTCAGTATTTTGCATCTTGTCAGTTCAAAGACATGTACTGAGAATGAGTGTCTGGAGCACAGATTTATCTGCAGATGGATCAGCATGATTCTTCATGGGTCCTAAGGGTCCTGGAGAGGCACTACAAAGGTCTTTCTAGCTTCTTGGGAACCAACCACATTATTTGCTCACTCAGACACCTAAATTTATAGCTCAGTATTTAGACTAATCACACATAATGTGACACTGAGTTCATGAACTAGGAATTATTACATCTTCATTCACCCATGTGAGGTTTTCTTTCTGTAAGAATCATCACACAGCGAGTATTGTTCATCAGTGAAGTAATCTAATTTTAATAGTTGTTCCTGTATATTAGGAATTGTATTTAACTGTTCACAAACAGAGCTTGACTGCATACAATGGAGAAGATTGACCACAGAGAGGTGAAAGGGAGTCTGCAGTGCAGGGCTATCAATATCAATGTGGTGAAAGGGGTCAATAACATAGAAGTTGTATGATGTCTGGTTTAAGTCCGTGATGTTCTTTCCCCTTGTGTGCACATAAGAAGAGGTGGAGCTCTGCTAAAGGAAAACTGTTTCACCACAATAGTGACGTTTGTGCTTGCGCTATAGCAATACCAAAGAAAGAGGTAATGGCTCTAGCAATAAATCAGAAACATACAATGAAGAGAAGAACCACCAGTCTGTAAACCTTTGCAACAAAGCCATAGTAACAACTTGTTAAACCCATAGCTATACAATAATAAAAAGGCACTTACCACCATCCTGGTGTGAGAAACTCTGTGAAGAAAAAAAAATAAGATGTTTCGTTAAACCTTTTATATTTTGAGTTTAATTTGCATGAAGTCTTGATTTTTATGCTAGGCTTGCTTTTATGGTTCTTTGTAATTTTTAAAGGGGTACCTGGGGATGTGTCTCCTCAGGTTTAGGTGCCATTAGAGGCTGAGGGAGAGGGACATGGTGTAACTGAAAGGAGAACACTGCTGTTTGCTGCAGGCTGTTATGTTCGGAAATGGCATTTGTGGCAAATGCCACTATCCCTGAGTACCACTGGGAGCAGGGAAGCTTGAGATGCCTTCTGGGATCCTGCTGACATCTTTTGTGTGGCAGAAATTTCATATGGTTTCCTTGCAGATAATATCGGGAGAAATATCTGAAATCCTTGTGCAAAAAAAGCTGGAGTGGGAAGGGGAAATCCAAATAACCCAACCAAAACAGATCTGACACCTCTGTATCTTTTCTGGTCTTGTTCATTCTGGTTTGAGCTAAGTGCTCTGCAACTGCCCTCAATCTTCCCATAAGTGCATGAATTGTAACTGCTGCTTTCAAACAGTGCTAAGACTCTACCTTGGTTTCAATATATGCCCGTGTCTTTTTTTTTTTTTTTTTTTTTTTTTTAAATACCTTTTGCAAGTTGTCGAAGGATTTCTCAGTCTCCTTTAGCTTCTCCAAGATTATTTGTTCTTTGGCAGATATTTGGGATTCCTCACTTTCTAATTTCTGTATTTCTTCTTCCAGCCTGTGGAAGACATACAGAGATGCACATACACACAAAAATAAAACATGTAAAAATTGTTTCAATGAGCCATAGTCTCCTAGGTATTAATTAGCATTTCAAATGTCATCAGGGACAACTTTCACTCTTGTTATTCACAATTGCTTTCCTGGAGCAAGAAGGGCACACGAATTATTTGTGGAACAGACATATCTATTTAAAAGAAAAACATTAATTCTCTTCTTATCCACTTCTGAAAAAGCATATACAGATTAAGTAAAAATATATCTTGGTATCCCTTCACCCCAATTCCCATAACATCTCTCAGATATGCACTTTCATTTTAGAAATCACAGTTTGGGATATAACCATAAATATGCAGTAATAATTAGAGGAGTAGATGTCTTCTAATGCTTCCATACTCCAGACAATGAAACTGCAAATAGTTGTTGCAAGCTGGCAGTCAACCAGTCATGCTAGGAGTTGCTCTTGAACCAGTACTTAGCCCACTCCCAACAATACCACTTCGGGAACCCAAAAGCATTGGACATCCATCCATGCTTTCTACTGTTACTGCATGATACTGGGGACACCAGAAGCTTCAGGTAACAAAATACACAAGCTGCCCAGAAAATAAGCTTATTTTGCTAGGCAGGAAGCATTCGGCACTGTTGTTTCTCTTGTTGAGACCTAATGGCACTCAGTCCTTTAGATGCCTCAGTCCTTAAGATGTGTTGATTGTGATTTAGGATACACTTTAATCAGAATTAGATTCTCCATTACTTTAGCTCAAACCTCCTTTTATTGATATGATTTATGTAGGTGCATGAATATTTCCTCTTTCTCTCTCTATTTTTATGTATACCACCATCTTTATTTTCTCACTTTTGACCAAAAATTTTAAAATATCTGTAATATGAACTAAGATGAACACTTTTGAACAGGGTTAGTTACCTAACACTCCCTTTGTCTTCAGAGAGAGCTGTAGTTGCTCATATCTTGTTGGACCATATTTCTTTGAAGGTGACAGATCGGTGTCGTCCAGTACTTTCCTTACCCATGGCTGCTTGCTCCTTTTTTTTTTGCCACCACTTCTCAAGGGAAGGATCAGGGTATTTAGGATCAATGTCCCCTAAAGGGACATATTTTTGCTCTTTTCCAGTCCTGCTCAGCACAGGAATTCATTAATGCTTGTTTGATCACCAGGCAGAGGGCAAGGAGAAGGTGACAGCGAGCAGGTAGGGAGGAGGGAGGGAGGGATTGCGGCTTTCAGGGGGTTGACAGCGTGAGTTGCTTGTGAAATTCATGTGTCTAAATATAGATGCAGGGGTCTAACTTAAGGCATGCACCTGGGAAATTTTTCCCCACTTTCTAATTGTGCAAGGATGAAAGATGTGTGGCACTTGTTGATAATGCTTTTCATTAGAGGGAGACAAAAGTGTCACAGCCTCAAGTTGTTGCAGATGGAAAAAGGCAGATTTTACTCTCCTGAAGTATGTGAATACTTAATAGTCTCAAATTTGTGGTGATCTGCTGAA